TTGGACCGTCTGTTTTGGGGATTCTCCCATTGGGCTTTACTCCTTGGACTGTTCGACTTGGGCTGAATTTTTATGTGTCAACAGTATTATTGAAAAAGAAATACATCCATAAAGGGATGAAAGGAATTTTAGTGTTTTGCATTTTGGATATCAACATTCAGATAGGAGGATGTTGGTCCCCAGTGTTTAACTTTCATTGCTCCCTTTGCCCCAATTAGGAATTGGAAAACATCCATTAAACTCGAAATCCATAGGGCATCGTCTCACACCGGATGGGAATTTTCGACATAATCGGGTACTCGGGACGAGACATGGTGGGTCCCATCCTGTTATCCACTTCGTTTAAAGTTCATTTCAAGTTATAAAGTTGTAAGTACACAGAAAGAAAAGAATTGTGAGCTTTTCTAAAGGGGATATGGACTATTCTGCAATTTGATTAGACAAATAATCATTTTCACCAACAGCATGAAAAAATAAGAGCCGAAAAAAAAAATACATATAGGGTGATAACAGGGCCTTGTCCCGCCCCGCCTCAAGCAAGGATATGGGCGGAACAAGAGAGAAAAACCTAAATGAGACAGGGGTTGCCATCCTTAGCCCCAATATATCACCTTGCACATGCCTTAGTTTTCAAGGGGAGAATAGAGAAATTAGAGTCTCTATTTCTATGTTGTTGTTGCTGACCTCAAGATTGTAACTAAAATTAACACTCGTAATTCTTGCGTTGTTGTGCTAGTGGACGAAATTTATGAATCCTTTGTACCCTGACAAGTTGATTAGTATCGAAGGTGGTTGTGGTTGGTGAGAGTAAGGGATAGGAAGCTGAAGATGAATCAGTGTCTTTCTTTTCTTTTCCCTTTTTTTTTTAATATACTTTTCTGCTTTTCTTTAATTTTAATGTAGTCGATCATTATGCTCCCATAAGAAGTCCATTTGGCGCCTCACATGCGATTTGGAGGGTATTTTGGGCGATCTCCATCCGACGAAAACCATTATTACGTATGAAGTAAGAGTCGAAGAAGTAACTCCTTTTAGAAAGTGTAATTTCTAAGCTTGTTTGGTGTAAAAATTTTTTAAAGCACTTATTTTGAAAAGTGATTTTTTTCAAGAATAAGCGCTGTTAAAAAATAGTGAAAATTTATGGATTCTTGTATACAATTATTTCATCAGGAGATTGTTTGATTGAACTGAATTTGGGAAAAATGAGTTTTAAATCATTTCTACCAAAATTGAGAAGAGGCTTGAGTGCAATATGAACATTAGCTTGTCATCTTCACGTTAAATGAGCGATTTTCAAAAAATNTCTACCAAAATTGAGAAGAGGCTTGAGTGCAATATGAACATTAGCTTGTCATCTTCACGTTAAATGAGCGATTTTCAAAAAATCATATAAAGTATGATAAGATAGATTTTGATGTTGATTTAATAATACGATGAGAGCATGTTTTGCACAAATTCTTCAAAAGTTAAATTCGCTATTTCAATAATACATTTATTGAATAAAATAATTTTTGCACATTCATCCATAATTTTATCTTCTTTTTAACTATGCATTTTCAAAATAATTACTCAAAAATTATTCAAAAAAATCGACATCTTACATACTCTCATTGTTCAAAATGTCACAATAATAGGAAAAGCAAAATTTATTGCCTCGACCACTATGATAAATGAGGCAGAGATAGGAATGTGCATGGTCCTCAATTTGAATTCTCCAACTCATTCTAAATCTTTTTATTTTATTTTATGATTTTCAATTTAATAAATAATTAAATAAGACAGCAAATGCTCTACCTCCCAAAAATCCTTGACATTGTAGTATGGGTGCCCCGACCTGCCACCATCCTTACACACAAAGGAGTCTTACGTTGTAGCAAACAAGGCAATCGTTTTCTAACTTGGAAAACGTACAAGTTAGATGACGTCGAAAGATGTCTATTTAGATATTATATAATCTCCAAATTCAAAATCAGTCGGGACAATCTAAGAAAATCAGATATTGGTCGAAACAATGAGGAGACGAATATGTGACAGAATTGAGTATAGTTGTAGAAGCTGCAAAGCTATGGTACTATCGAATAAGAAGTGTAGTAAAAGAATTAAGTCATAGAAATTGTAATTTTTGGAATAATGATGACTTCACTTGCATGGCAATGAATCATTATATCGTCTAGTTTTTGAACATATAATCTTTGAGGAGTAGTGCTCGTTGATTTTTAGGATGTATAATTTTTTCAATAGCTTTCTTTTATTGAACTTTGAAATTTTGATAAAGCTGATAAAATTGTCCCAACAATATGTAGAAATAGTACATATCACACTACTTTTGTTAGATCTCATTTGAGATTGGCTAACATAAAAATCAACCAAGTCCAAGTGAAAAGATGCTTTTTGTACTAAATTATGTGGGCACAAAAACAATTTCTCTATCCAAAGTTGTCTGTTTCCAGAAGCTGTCGAAAATATTTTTAGATAGACGAGTGTGTTTATTAATTTTTTATTATTGTCAAATAATATATTCAAGCTTGTCATGAATAACTTGATTAGGCATGATGCTTGAAGCATAATATGATGGACTAATGTATTTTATTTAGGTTGGGATCGAGGAATTTCATCATCCTTAGATATAGAATATTTCAAAAATATAAAAGTTTAATTCTATACAGGGCTAGATCGACATATATCTCATCCCATAGTCCGCTTGGGTTGAGGTGAAAAAGAGGGAAGGGGTGCCTAGGCTTAGGGAACATGTGCAACGTCGACCTCCGAAGGACAACAATTTTTTTCCCCTTAATCTAACTAAGTAGCTTGCCTACGTCTAGAGTGGGAGGAAATTGATATCATCGAGCAAAAGACATTCAACGATAGGCCTAAAGGAATTTTGAATCGAACTCATCCTTAATTACTACCTTACCTTAGCCGAAGGGTTAAACTTAAATGTACAAAGAATATAATAGTCTCAACCATAAGCATCACAGAGCTCGAGCAACTTCAATTTAACAAATCTAGTTTGACAAAAATAATGCGTCAAGATCGTTCGTTAAGTCGGATCAACCCGAGTTGGCTGATCGACAAATTTCACGTGCTAGACCATAGTCTAAATTTTCATAATTAGCCGACAACATTTTACAAACTTGCCCCTTTATACACGATTGGTTCAACGGTTCAAAATTGTCATGTTACTATAGTTTGGGCAGCTCTGACCCAAACGAGGAAGAGCCGATAGAAAGTTCGAGAAGAGGCTTTTGTATTATTTGGATCAAGTAATTTAGCCCCCGTTTGCCTTCAATTAAAAATAATTTATTTGGGAAAAACAGGTTTTAAAATAATGAATTTTTGAAGAACGTGTTATTGAAAAGTAGAAAAAATTTAGATTTATGTATAAAATATTTTGTTATAAGAATGTGTTATTAAAAATAAATTTTAGAGAAAGAATTTTATATAATAATGGACAAATGAGGCTTAATTATAAGAGTTAGGACATGTTCGATAGTGATTATAAAAATTAAGTGAATTTCACTTATGAGTGAATGAGTAAAAAATGACAGTCAAAATAATAAAATAATGACCAAAAAATTGAATTTTTATGGCGAAAAATTGCTATCAAACGGACTTATCCATGGATTCTACATATCAGTCAAAATTGAACCATTCCTGTGGAAGACCTGCCATTCCAGTTTTCTTGATGTTCCCGTTTTATACGCAAGTACGCAACCCACAGGAAACTTCCCGAATTCAAAGAGATCCCACCTCAAATAAATAAATTATTATCTCCCCATTAATAGCACATTTTTTTCTTTTTCAATCCTGTTAATACATTCTAATTTCTACAGAACAACATATTGTTGGCATTTGATCGAATCCCAACTGTTTGGTTTATATTTGGTCGGGATTTCTTCAGTTTAATTTCATATTTCTTTAGAGGAAAAATGGAGGGTGGTGCAGCTGCTGTTTCTACAGAGAAGGCATCAGAATCAGCTGCGTCAGCCTCATACACATATTGGGTCAGGGAATTGACCCATGATGCAGCTCCACGACCCGTCCCCAAGAAGCTCAATGTGGAGGATTTGTCCAATCATTCTAACCCGACCCACCTCGGCTCCGTATGGAATCGGGTATCCATTTGGAAAATTTAAAGATCTGTTGTTTTCTTTTTTTGATATATTTTTTCCCGGTCATATATTATTATGATTTTTCTCTATGTTTACCGGTATGTTTTGTTGTTGTGTGGTTTGTTTTTAAATAGCTTGGGGTAATAATATTATGGAAGCTTTGATTCTAAGAAGAGAAAGAAGCAAAAATTTGTAAGAAATGAAAGAGTTTTAGCTAATTGGTGAAAATATTAACTGTCTTCTTGTCGAGAAAAATGCATCTACTTTATACTGTGCGTGTAAACTGCATGAAGTTGATAATTGAATGATAAATATTTGGATTTTTTCCCCTAAAAGTGAAAGTGGAGTTGAGGTGGATTTGTTTTAGACTTGATGTACTTGAAGTTGAAAATTGTGCAGCGATGGTGCTGAAGTGAAAGATAACATTTTTCTGTTTTACAGAGTAAAAACACTTGAGTTTAGAATTACGGATAGGCAATTGCTTGTTGGCTGTTCTTGAATTTAGACTTTGAGAAGCACTTCAGGATGAACATGATGACAGTGGCACAGTTGGCATCAAAAGTGGGGTTTTTCTTTTGAAAGTTTCGATCTTGTCTTCAATTTTTGTTTATCCTGAATCGAGGAAGAAAAATATAAGCAGAGAGAGAGGAACTACAAACATCCACAAGTTTCGAAAATCCATTCAAAATTTAGTAAGATGGCTAGCTTAAGAACAAACTAATTCAGCCCCATTTCCGTTTGTAAGAATTCATTTAGGGGAAAATTTTGGCAATAAGAAGATAGTGTATACTTATATAATCACGGGAGTAGGATTAAGGATCTCCCAACCTTGAAACATTCTCCAATGGTGATAAGTCTTCAAGAACTCACATGCCATAAATTAGAAATTGTTTAAGAAGTGCATACACTCCTTTGAGGTGTATATATTCTGTTTTAGAAAACCTAATGTTACCTAGAGTGTGTTCTAGAATGGAGTCATATTTGTACCTACCATGGTGATTATGGAAACAAATTTAAAAAGGAATTCCTCTAAAATCCGATGTAATAGTGGCCTTGCAATTAAGAAGCAATCGTTCTTACCGTCATCATAGAAACTGGTCATGAGGCACGAAAGTGCGATGAAGAGATATGTAGCAGATAGCTGATGGGAGTAATACTCCATGAAGAAATTAAAATAATCTTCTAATCCTTGTTGCTGTAACAAACTCAATAATAGAGTTTCCGACAAATGCCGTTCGAAAACAATCCTCTAAAGGCCCTGTGACATAGTAATCAAACTAGAGGTTGAAGAGATTAGTAGTATGAGATTCAGGAAGTTTTTTTAATTAAGGCACCATTTGATTCTCATTTTTATCAAAATACATTTTACTCCCTTTTTTCCACCACACATTATTTATTAAAATAATATTACATGTAAATCAATAACTTTTCCTTGTTTTTCATCCATACATTCTCCGTCAATCTGCTATTATAAAATTCATTTTTCAAATGGTTGTCAAACACCCTCTAACTAAATCAAAATTTGTTTCCACAAAGTTTGTTTATATTGTAATTATACATTTAAGGAAGTTTTATCAATTAGTAAGTATGAAGTCATTGTTATACGTATTGGTCAGCAAATATTTGTTTTAAATTCACTTATTAAAGTAGGTAATAATGTCAACCATTACATTTATTTTACATGTAGTTCTTACTTCAGTGCTATTACATATGACGTGCATAATTTTTATACTTCAAGTTCACCCTTTATTTATATTATGTCAATTGTTTATTTCATTTTCCAGGCTGGAACATGGGAAGAGAAGAGTTTGAATAAGTGGGCAAGCGATAGAATTAAGGTCTGAATGCTTATAATCAATTATGTTTTTAGGTGTGTGTGTCTGGCCTGTGCTGCAACAATTTTTTCTGTTGACAATCCTTTGACATTTCCTGGTTGTGGACACATTGAGGTTATTTGTTGTGATTTTAATGTTCTGGTCTCTGTCAGTACCTTTGGCATGTTCTTCAAATATGTTTGTTACTGTAGACATCATCAATCAGAAATTCAGAATTAGTATCATAACGTATAATTCTATCTCAACAAACTATAGGAACCGTGAAACATACTGGAACTTAGTTGCATAAGCTTAAAAGTGAGCTAAACAGAGAAACAACCTTTCAGTGGATTGACCAAATGATTTTGAAAAAAATTATACCTAATTACCAGGTAAGTCCACTTTTCAGTCGTAAGACCTAATATATCATTATAATTCCAATTTTTAACTAAACATGTTCACAGACTCCGTGGTGAGTATATTAAAGCTTGTGCATGTTATGTGCTTGATCACATACATTCATGCCTATAGATATTTACGTGGTTCATATTTGCTAATTGCAGGAATTGCTTGTGTCTGTTGGGACTCTAGAGTTCTCTGGAGGCAAAGCAGAAATAGAAGAAGTAACAAGATGCTCTGGGGATGTGAGTTCTCGTAAAATTGTTACACCTCCAAGATGATTTCTGTTCAGTCTCATACTTTCTTAAGTTTCTATTAGCTTCCAAGTAAATTTGTTTTTTCTTTGTGGAGATTTGACATAGATGATGTCATCAACGTATCCACTTATAGTTCTGTGTTCTTACACGAGATAGATGCATAATACGTTGTTGCTGTACATAGGTTTCTTCTTTTTATCTGTTTGCTATCTCTTTTGTGAGAATTGTTATTTATGTTACAAGTTACACACAGAGTTGATGTTAAGAGATGAAGCAGGATGCATGCATTTAAAGTTGAACTTGTAGAAACTGGAAGTAAGAAGTTCAGTACTAGGGAATGAAGTGTCTTGAATGGTAACTACTAGGTGAAAATATTTACTGACAATTGAGGTGACGGCTATGAAGTATGACTAATTTCATGACATAATGCATGAAAGATCGTTGACTGTTTGTCTATTTCAAATGATTGTGTGAATACATTATAAAATGCATCTTCTTCTTAGCTCTCATTCAATAAAGGTTTCTTTTGCCTTGACGTCCATTTCTAAGTTATAGTCGATTTATGAATTTGGTGCATTGGATTAGAGCGTTTAAGGAATCTGATATAAATTTGTAATGGGTATTATTAGATAGAGTGTATTAAGATGGATTAAGGTAGGTAATATTCTTTGATTTTTATTTGAAGAATGTCATTTACTATATTTGTTCTTATTTGGCCTAAACCCACCCCACCCCACCTTGCCCCAACCCCCTCATTATATTATAATATTGATGGTACAGTCTATCTTTTGAATGAAAAATTAAAAAATAATATACGCTTTAATTCACCATAGTACCATCTACCTAATACTATCCATTATAATTTTATACTAAATTTTTTACATATTCTAATCCATGCACCAAACATAGGCGTAAGCATGCAAGCCGACAAATGAAGCGCTGTGCAGCTGAAAGGGCTAAACCAGGGATTTGAATTGTGAAATCCATAGGCAAGTGGCTCGTAAATGTATGGTAATATTTCTAAGATACAAAAGAGGTCAGAAAAACTTAAATTGAAGGAGCCTAATCCGTGGGATAAATTAGAGTTCTAAATTTTTTCAAGTAGGAAGAAATAAGGAAAAACAGAATGGAAATGGTTATGAACGGCGAATAAAACTCAGTTAATTGTGTTAATATAGTTGCTATATATAAGCTGTTATATTGTTGTTCAAAATTCAATTAAAAGAATGAAAATGGAATGAAACAACATGAAGGAAGCCAAAGAAAAACCGACGTGGAAACCAAACGGTGGAAATATAAAGAAAAAAACAGAGGCCCAAACTTTGTGCCATGCGACCGCATGGCCATCTACCAAGATTTAAAGGGGCCCTTCAATTATTTCATGCGGCTGCATGGTGATTTCCCGTGACATTGGGAGCCGTTTTTCTACCATTATAACTTCAAAAGTGGTGGCTTCTCAACCTATTTTGGCACCATTTCGTGCACACTTGGTGATGACCTATAAATAGGTGATAAATCTAAAGCCAAATAACGTGAATAACATTTTGTGATCAATACTCATTCCAAAATCAAAGATCAAACAATTGATTGATATTCATACTCAATTTCTTCTATGTGTTTTTAAAGTTTTGGAGGATCGCACTTATGCTTTGGTGCTAGATTCTTTACAAGGCTTGTTATAATCCTACAAACCGTTTGCCAAAGATCTTTAAGCATCTCATTCAATCCCGAGAGGAGGCAAATATAATTTGAGGACAACAATTACGCGTTCGAGCCTTACATTTTATTTTCTTCAAATTTCTGGATATTAATTCAACTTGTGATTACATTTTCATTTTTGTTGTCTCTTCTTCATTCCTCTATATATTTCCAACGTAAGCTACATTGGATGCTTTAAAGTTGTGATGTCAATTGCTATTTCGTAATAATAATAATTGAACCCGACTTGCAGGCATTCATAGTGACAGTACGAAACAAAAAACGTGTTGGTTACAATTATGAATTGACATTGAGAGTAAAGGGTAACTCTTTGTTATTCTTTCTATTTTACAGAATAGTCGTCGTTTACTTCATCCTTTTTTCCTTTTTATTTCCATGCTATTGTCTTCTCATCCACTTTTTTCACAAGTGAAATATGAAAATCAGGAGAATGGACTGTTGGATCAGAGAAGAGGAAAGTCAAAGGCCATATAGATATTCCCGAGTTCTCACTTGGTGAACTGGATGACTTGCAGGTATATTATATTTTAGCGATCAGATGTTCTTGCAGAATGAGCTAGAATAAAGAACATTCTTGCAGAATGAGCTAGCATAAAGAACATTCATTGATGTTATATTCCAGTAATCGAGAACCATACTCTTCTTGTCGCTGTTAGTAAAATAAGATTTTATAAACTTGGCTATGTACACATCCTGTAGAAACTCGACGTCTGTGTAATTTATGTTTACATTTGCTTTGCAGATTCACACAAAACTCAGTGAAGAAAAGGATCTTTCACAACAAGATAAGCAAAGGATCATCAAGGATTTGAAATTATTTTTGAAGCCTCTGCAGGAGAAATTGCATCATTTTGAGCAGGAACTGAAAGACCTATAGTAGTAAACACCTGTGGTTGTCGATTGAGGTTTTGGATTCCATAAGAAATAATTTGGATTTATATCTTCGCATTTGGACTAATGATTTTAATTAGAGTATATGTGGTTGAACACAAAACTGATATCAAGGTTGTTCAAGTGTTTGTAATGGAAAATGGAGCTTGATTATTTGCAATCTACAAACTCAGGTGAACTGTTGTGTTTCTTGGTTAATTTATGGATTGTAATATTTAGTGTAGCGATGATTCCAACAATCTTTGAACTATCGATGCCAATAAATTGAAGAAACACAAATTGGACTGTCTAGATTTTTAGCTCATATTCCCTATGCTGCTTCTCAACCAGGATTCGATAAGACGCGAGCCTTTAGACAAGCCATGGATTTTTTCCTTGGTGACTTTTCGAGCCTTTCTGGATTTAATGTTAATCATTAATTGCTTATTTCTCCTTACCTTTTTTCTTGAATGATCCACTTAAAGCTGCTTTAGTCTTTGTCCACTCTTTCATTGAAGAGTAATGTTATGTAGCTTTACTGAGGTTGCAACCTCAGTCACATAAGCTTACCATGCTGAAGAGCTTGGCATGACCCTTGTCCGAAACTGGAACAAAGTTCAAATAAACGAAGCTGCGGCTTTTCGTGGGCATTATTTCTACTGAATCCACGGGTACCCAGTAGAGGTGAAGTGAAAGTTTTTTTTAAAATCAGCTTCTTTCGCATTCAGCCCCAATCCCCAATATAAATCCTTATTTTGTTCTCTTCCAAATTCATTCTTGAATTTCTCCTTCGTCTTCTTCTTCCCGATGGATTTGAGTTAAAACCCTAATCCAGCCCCCTTTACCTATTTATTTTATGGTCACATTCCCTAAATATTGGGTTTTAGTGCAATTGGGTCTGCCATCTTGCTCTTATTTGTGGTTGAAAAGACAATTTTAACCCTATTTTTTATTCAAAAAAATATTAAAAATTAAAAATAATGACATTTTATTGCGTAATGTGACGCAATATGTTAGCTCCATTTAACATTAAAATAAAACGATGATTATATTGTCATCACAATTTTTTTCTTAACTACATTTAAATTCACCGCAATTATAATACATTTTTAATAAATACACCACCTCAATTTGACTAATATAACCTAGCATAATCCAACCTGCACCCCAACACGGGCAAGCGTGCTCGCTAGCTAAACGGTATGCGGACACATATAGAAAATTTTAGGATTTAATTGGCAAACAGAGTGGCACCAACCAAGAATGATTTTAAAACTTGGGTATCATCAACACTTTAGATTGTAGACTGGGAACTGCATTGAATACTAATTGTTACGCCTCTTCTAATGAGGCTCTAAGTATTGCCAAATGGCGGCTGTACAATATGTACAATAAGAGAACTTAGGTTTGTACTTCACATCATTCTACACACGCAGCAATTCGGCTGAGCCCCCACGACTGAGACCACGTGGATGAGCCCCACGGCTGAGCCACCATGGCCGAACCACTATGGTCGACCCCTATTGGCCAAACCCCAATGGGAGCTGAGCCTTCATGAATGAGGCGAGGAAGGTAGAGGCATCTTAGAGGAAGATCTTCATACAAGATCTTGTAATAAGTGAGTGATGTGACAACTCACTGCATAGGCAGCTCAACTCAATCAGCAAGTTAAATTTAGTCTTACACGTCAGGCCTAAGACTGCTAATTGTCATAACATTAAATGCACTTTTGAGCTTAAGTTTGATTGATTGATGCATATGACAAGAGTCCCTAGCCTCCAAGATAAGGCCACGTGTTTCTTCATCCAACGACTCTTACTTATCCCCTTCTACTGTAAAAGCTCACACTTGGTATCATTCCAGAGGTAATGCAAGTTTAGACTTTGATACTACAACTTCGCTCTCTACATTTTTCATTTACTCCCAATATCGACCTCCTTTATTTTATATTGGAGGCTCACATTAAAAGTCCTCCCACACTCAAAATATTTCTCCTCAAAACTGACTTGACCGTTGGAATGCGCGCGGCCGACTCCACCCCCACCGGAGAAGCCACGTGTGGCTAACGGTTTGTCCTAGCGTGCAAAAATACGGCTTGCTTGGACGTGAGAGGTCTTGGAATCTGTTGGCCACGTTTAAGGTACATTTTTCGAGATCATCACTAATTTTCCTTTGCAAAAGATTTATGAATTGGATCGTAAAATTTTACATTTCAAGCATAGAATTGAAATTTTTTCTGCAATTTGATTTGTCTTTTAGATTCTAGAATAAGCACCTCCAGATAATTTTATCTACTAGAATTTGCTCAAGCAGATGCATTGTAACCATTTACCAGAACTTCCTGTTAAGTTTTGTGGCAACGTGGAACAGAAAAGCAAGCATGTGATTTCATAGTTCTTTTTCTTTCTTGTCAATGCAGTGCACCACACCTCACATTAAAGAATTCCCTTTCTTGGCATTGGAGGAATTTTATACTATTTACCATTTATAATGAAAACTTAGATATTTAAAGTAGAGGGAGAGGTTGAATCGAGGTGAGAAGCCAGCCTGTGGCTATTCATTCATATACAACAAGAACACGACACGAGCCATTATTGGCATCTCAAAATACTCTTCTTTCTATCGTTCCATTTCTTATTCTTCTGAATGTGTTCGAATTATTTGCTCAAATGAAATCCATAGCTAAAAATCAGAGGGCAATGCTGCATTTGCAGCGTAACCCAATTTTCTTGATTCTTGCAGTAATTTTCTTCTTGTTCTCTCAAATCTGTGCTGTTTCAGCAGCAGAAAATGGCATTGACTTGGATGATATTGATAGAGATATGAAGAACTTAACGCTCGAAAATCCGAGTATTCGACAAGCTTACATTGCTTTACAAGCATGGAAACAGGCTATTTTTTCTGATCCTTTCAACTTCACAGCAAACTGGACAGGTTCTGATGTTTGCTCCTATGGTGGAATCTTCTGTTCCCGGTCTCCAATGAATGCCTCCATGCGAGTCGTGGCTGGGATTGACCTAAACAATGCGGACATTGCAGGGTACCCCCCGGATGAGCTCGGGTTGTTGACTGATCTGGCCCTTTTCCACATCAACTCTAATCGATTCTGCGGTGTGATTCCAAAGAATTTCAAGAAAATGAATCTTCTTTTTGAGTTGGATGTCAGTAACAATCGCTTCGAAGGGAGATTCCCTCATGTGGTTCTGTCCTTGCCTGAATTGAAATTCTTGGACCTCAGGTTCAATGAATTCGAGGGACCTGTCCCCACTAGGCTTTTCGACAAACCCCTCGACGCCATTTTCTTGAACAACAACAGATTCCGGTTTGGAATACCAGAAAATCTTGGAAATTCTCAGGTTTCTGTTTTGGTATTGGCCAACAATAATCTTGGGGGTTGCATTCCAGGCAGCATTGGCAAAATGGGTAAAACTTTAAATGAATTGATCTTGATGAATGATAATCTAACTGGTTGTTTACCTCCAGAGATTGGAATGCTGAAGAAATTGACAGTATTTGATGTTAGTTTCAATAATCTCCAAGGGCCATTGCCTTCAGGTATTAGCCGTATGAGGAGCTTGGAACAGCTAGATGTGGCACACAACCGCCTCACTGGAGAGGTGCCCGCCACCGTGTGCCACCTTCCCCAGCTGCTCAACTTCACTTACTCATTCAATTACTTCACTAAGGAGGCCCCGGAATGCACTAAATTTGGTGGAGGGACAGTGGCAGCTGGGCGGGAGAATTGTATATCGGGGAAGAGTGATCAAAGGTCTGTTAAAGAGTGCTCATCGGATGCTGCTAAGCCGTTTGATTGTAGCAAGTCCAAGTGTGGCGGTGGCGGCAGAAGCTTCGGGATGAAGCCTAAACCAAGGAAGAGGCCACCAGTTCAGACAAAGCCGCCATCTCCGAAGCCATCTACTGGGCCAAGGCCTTTCCCCAAGCTTGTTTCGCCGCCACCTCCGCCCACTTCAAGGTCTTCACCATCCACGAGATCACACCCTCCACCACCTCCAACTCCAATTCCAAAGCCGACACCAACACCATCTTATCATGCACCGCCGCTGCCGCCTACCCACAAAGTCTCTCCAGTAACTCGCCTTCCACCACCTCCGCCCCCAACTTACCACTCTAAGCCCACAAAGAATTTACCTCCACCCCCACCACCTCGGCATAAGGGCTCACCAAAGACGCACTATGCAACGCCACCGCCACCGCCACCACCACCACCAACAACAGCTACGCCACCTCAGCATAAGAGCTCACCCAAGACTCGCTATGCATCACCACCATCTCCACCATTTTATGAACATGTGACACCATCACCACCTCCACTGCCCTCTCCCTCTCCCTCGCCTCCACCTCCACCTCCCTACACATATCCATCCCCGCCACCACCTTCTCCATCACGTCCTCCACCCTACATATATTCATCCCCACGACCACCTTCTCCATCACCTCCCCCACCCTACAATTATTCATCACCCCCTCCACCTTCTCCATCACCACCACCACCCTACATATATTCATCGCCCCCACCACCCTCACCATCACCGCCTCCACCATCCCCTGGATGCAGTGAATCAACATCACCTCCACTAGAGCCGGTCCTGAGGCGAGGCAGTGAGGCCTGCGCCTCAGGGCCTCAACTGGTAGGGGGCCTCACTTCGCCATAACATTTTTATTTTTTGCAATTAAATGAAAAAATTGGAAGAAGAAATAATTTTCCCCTCCCCACGGTCACTGACATACTGTGGCGATGCAGAATTTACAGGTTCAGAGGGAGGACAGTGGCCAATCGCCATTGTTGCAGGCGATTGCAGATGGGAAGCTTGAAGAGGAAGACGATAGACTTGGGCCAAATTTTATTTTATTTTTTTGCTTGAGGCTTTTTTTTTTTTAAATAGGCCCATCAATATAGCTATAGATCCATGGCCCATATAGCCCATATGCCTCTTAAGTGAAACTGGTTCCAACACATAAGATAATTTGGACAAAAAAAACCTAATTCTCCCTACACTGCGCAACCCAACGCCGAGTCGTCGAGTGAATTGGTTGTAACCCGCTTGTTGCATGCGAGTCGCCGATGTCGACCTCAGCCCTTCAGTCTTCACCACTACCTTCTGCTACCATGTGAGCCTTTCTTCTTCTTGTTTGTTTTCTTGTCTTTCTTTTTATGTTTTGTTTTTGTTTATGTTGTTTTTGATTTTCATCATTACGAAATTAAAATAAATATGTGCATAATCAAGATTGAAGATGCTTTGATGAATCTGATGATAATGATTAATGGGGAGAAGCATAAATAATTGATAATGGGGAGAAGCATAAATAATTATTCAGAGAAAATTGACGTCAAATCATTCTGGAAGAGTTATCTTCTGTGAATAGAGATGTGATTTCATTACTCAATTTCCTGTTACTTCATGCATTTTGTCAAATTCTTGTGGCCGAATGTTACTAGCAGGTAGTTCCTGCCTGGTTGAGCTGCTTACCTATAAAAGGTGATCTTATTGAAGTAAAAGTTGTTCATGAGCAGCTTTGCACAATGGTCGAGAGGTAGACAATGGAGATGGCTCTAATTTGGCATTGTTGGAAACCAAACTTGTTGCTAAAGACCTTCATTTATGTATATTGATCTGTTTTCCTCTTGTAGGTCCGATAGGGAACTTCTGGGTCCCAACAATCAATATCTCCTCAAAATAGTCGCTGTATTTGTTGAGGTCAGTTCTCACTATATGATAAGTGAATAACTTAATGTGCATTTTATGTTGTGTTGTGAAATTCCGAATAGAGTATTACAATCTAATTGGCCTGCACTTGACTATGATCTTTAGACATTTATATAAATGAATATGCTCTGAACCTGTGATCATTACATTTTTTTGTCTAGTGTATTTAGAGAGAGAGAAATGTATTGACTATAAACTTTTTCTTCTGCTATAGGTCCTACGTGTCATTACATAATTTTTGCTCAAGTCCTATTTCTCAGGTGAGCAATGGCTTTTGCTTGCTTTTTTATAAACTATTAAACATATAGGAAATGTTTGAAGCCTTGCCGGCTTATATGATTGCATTGTAGTATTGCACCTTTGTCGGGTTATATTGACTTTTGTTAGATTTAATCGAATGATCAATTGTATAAACGGATGTAGTCATATACCATGGTGCCTCCTAAATATGAGTCTAGAACTCAAAAAATGAAAAAGGAAATGCATAATACAAACTTTTTTTTCTGAGGAGGGGGGGCTAATTTATAAAGTTCGCCTCAGGGCCCTGACAGCACAGGACCGGCCCTGACCTCCACCACCTCCTTATGTATATTCATCTCCACTAGCACCCTCTCAGTCAACTCCCCCACCCTATACATATTCATCCCCACCACCAACTTCTCCATCACCTCCCCCACCACATATATATTCATCACCCCCACCACCTTCTCCATCACCTCCACCATCCTACATATATTCATCGCCGCCGCCGCCGCCGCCGCCGCCACCACCCTCACCATTGCCGCCTCCACCACCAGTGTATGAAAACATACCGCTTCCTCCAATCGAAGGAGTCTCCTATGCATCTCCTCCACCCCCTGTTATTCCATACTACTGAAATGGTGCCCAGTTATAGTCCATCCTATACTGCCATCTTTCTCCTCTCTTATATTCCAAAAAGTGTTCCATGAAAACATAAGATACAGTTCTTTTCTGCAGTTAAAGGGAGTGGTTGTGCTTCTGATGATCCGTGGTTCCATTTTGGAGGGCTCCTGCTTCAACAATAACTAGAATAGTTCTATTTGTTAATTATTAAGTTTTTATTGTTCATAATTGCAACTTATATTCTTCAAAAGTCATCTTTTATTGATATACAACAGTTACCAAATGTTCTTTTTTTAATTTTTCCCTTGCTGGTGAAGACAAATATGCAAATCAACAAACACCCCCAAGATTTTCTCCTTACCTTGCAGTTGTTGATGATTATTTATTAAAATCAAGAATTATCTCCTAATATATAAATAGAAAGACAGAATAAAATGTTTAGGATTGGGAGATATAAGAGCTGAAATCATACATACAAAACATAAAAGGATATAATAAAGGAACATGTAACAAAAGTGTAAACTGAGAATGTTGCACGTGAATATTCTACTACAGCGGATATTCAAGAATTGATGAAAGAAATTTTAATGAATTTAAAAGAAATTATATTGAGAAGTATTCTACATGGAAGTAATGAAACGGTATTTAGGACAAGTTTGACAAGGCTTCCGCTTCTTGTAGAAGAGTTTCAAGAGAAAACACTGCTTCTACTTAATTTCAAAAGTAGCTTTTGATTTTTCAAAAACCATGTCAAATAAGCCCTAAAATGCATTACAAATGTTTAAACTGGCACCTTAGTAAAGCCTTGAAACATAATCTCACCACTGCCGCATTATGGACACATCATAAAACACTGCATCATAGTTGCATCTCAAATCAAATGATGAATACTTTCAAGTTAGAGATACAACATGTTGCTAGCTTCCAGCTTCATCTGTAAATGAACAAGTTGAGTTATTTTGTTGTGTCCACATACTCACAAAGTAGCAAATGCACTGCCTTATGAAAACAAATATCTCATTACCGGCATTGCACCCCAGAAACACCTATACAGTCCTACACACACAGAAGTTGACTGGCCGCTGGATAGTACATCACCGAGAATCTTTTTCTTCTCAACAAATGAAAACTAATCATCTTACAGTTCAAAGAAAACTGCATGGAAGCCTGTCTTTCCAATGAAAACCCGAGTAATTCATGGGAGAGAAATGTACAAGCAAACATGCCACATAAACTGGAGCAAATCTGTCACTCGTTTTTCTTCTTCATTTTCTTTTATCTCAGTTATAAGAGCTTTATCCAAAGCGTATCACAATCCATTCTGGCATTAAATAATGAAGTGTTCCAAAATTTGGAAAATAAAATAAATTTCTTATCTTTTGACAATCCATTTTATTCTCTCAAATCCAAATCCAAATCCAAATAATCCTGTTGAAGACAATATTTATTGACATAAATTTGGCCATATCTTCCAACTAAAGATTTTAGGTCAAGTAATTCAATATGCTATCAAAACAGACAAATACGCTAAGTTCAAGTCTTTTTACCATCCATTAATGAAATTGTGCGCATGTCAGGCTTCAATAGGAAAAAAACGAACACACCTACATGTGAGGGGCATGTTGAAGACAATATTTAAATGATCTATAATTGGCTCTATTTACTAACGTGAGCTTTTAGACCAAATGTTTCAACAAAACTAAAAATATAGTGATTATAATTTTAGTTCTGATGGAAGCAGTTTCAAGAGGCTGAGAAAAATAAAAAGGTAAGTTGACAAAAACTTATCTTATTTACTAATGCAAGTTTTTTCTAACACGAAAATTATTTTGGAATAGCTCTCTTATCATTAAAAGCAAAAACAATTTTATGGTAAAGACTAGTATCCCAGTTCCTATTATGACGAATATTTAACAAACTGAGCTCAGTTTTCGATACCACCACAACTTTTGAGAAGGAAAAAAACCATCTGATTAGCTTATTCATATGTTTCTCTCATCATCTATCGTACCAACCCCAAATTGTTCCAAATTTTAAAAACATCATTCTCCGAACGTCCCAATTTCAAGAACAAGCCATACCATGTCCTGTGTTAATTCCCTCGAACTGTATCAAAACAGGACAGTAATTAAGACTTGCTAATAATAATTAAAGTATCAAAGAAATGGAAAAAAGCCATCCAGAGATTGAAACACACCTCTTCAAGTATGTTGTTGAAGAGGTTGTCCTTTAAGTAACTCGGTACATGACCACCAAGGTGACCATCAAAAATTGCGAAAAAACCGAGCATATGCTCCTTCTTCTGCCTGTACTCAGCAACATGATAGTCTTCCATGTCATATCCTGATTGACCTTCCACCAAATGGAACCCGTATGACACTCTATTATTACATGACGATGACTTTAACTTGATCTTCCCTTTTTCCAGTATCTGGTGAAGATCCATCCACACAAACAGCTCTCTACAAACCGTCCCAAACGGAATTAACAAGCATAAATAAAGGACTACTTTAGTCTCTATACCACTACTCATCATATATCAGACATCCAGACGCCACGGCGGAGTTAAAACTTGCATTACATGGGACAATAATTAAACAATTAACGTGCATTGATAAAATTCATAATTATAACTGAAGTTTCATCACAAAGCTCAGTCGAGCCAAAGCGGACTTATATGGAACAAACCATAAAAAAAACTACGAACGTAGCAACTCAATTTAATAATAAGTAACAAATTGAAATCAGAATTCTACGGTACCTATTTTCAACCACACATTTTTTATTTAAATAATATTACACTTAAACTAAAAAAATTTCCTTTCTTTTTTAACCACACAACCTTCGTCAATCTACTATTCCATAATATATTTTCAAAATTAAGGAGCTCAAACACACTTGATGATATGAAGACGACCCCCGGAAGACGAAGACCGCTTTTTCTCCATATGGAAGTGTGAAATAACTAATCCTTGTGTAGAAAAAAAAATTAATTAATTAAAAAAAATAAAAAATCTATTCATTGATTTTAGGGGAAATGAGTTGGGAAGGCTGTCTTCCAATTGATTTTTGTTCAAAAGGATTTTGATTAGATTTTTGAAAATAATATAAAGTATAAATATTTAAATATTTAAAAAGACTACTATACTCCTCCAATTGATCCCCAAATTAAAGAAGATACGACATAGTTCCTTCTCCTTCCTTCCCAACAGAGTCCCAAATGTTCCTTTTTCCTTTCACCTTCGAACCATCTCTTCTCTACTGCACGACCTCTCTCTTCTCCACTATCACTTCCATACGCAAGAGAAATCGTCGTTTGAAGGAGCATCAGAAACTCGAACACTATCTGACAGACCAATTTTTGAGGGAGCATCCTTCAAATTTCAAGCACATAATTTGCTGTTTACGTGAAAAATCCTCAGACATTATACCAGGTACTATTCAGCTGGGTTTCTGAGTTGGCTTAGCAATTTTTATAGCTTTGTCATTATCACTGTTGTATACTTGGATTGACCTAATTTTACTTATTGAATTTGATATTCATGTGTTTTAATTCGAGTTTTTTTTTTTTTTTTTTGTGGAAAAGTATAAATGCCATAGCTCACTGATAGACTTAATATCAATTTCTTTTATGTTGGTACACATGATTTAGACTATTAATATATCAATAATTTTGTTGCAAAATCAAGTGAGACCTGGATTTATAGAGCGTGCACCCAATTTATGTCAGTCATATACTGGAGTAACTGGACTTGAATTGCATTTTAAAATGTCATTTCTAAATCATTGTAAACTACTATCTCTGGTAGAAATTTCATCTATGGGTAACTATTTGGAATGATCAAATTTAGATATATTAAGCTCGTCCGGGTTCTATGGCTAGATGCACTAAGTGTTGAGATGGGTGCAAGAGAGAAGAAATTATTAAAGAATCTTATTATCGTAAACATGTATTTGGTTTTGCTCTCAAGTCCTTATCCTTTTGCTTAAGCCATTGATGAGCTGAAGACACGTATACAATATGAAATTAGTTGATTTCATTTACTCTTATTTTGTAGTTTTAACGATGATGGAACGAACTAGACGGCGAAAAAAAAGCCAAACATGTTTTTGTTACATACTTATATTCCTCTTTTGGCTATTGAGCTTATTGCGCTAGTGTGTTGTATGTGATTTGTATTTAATCTTTCACGGGGAAGTTGGCTCACATTTTTGTCAAATACCTAAATGAATTCTTTGGCCTTCCAAATTGAACACTAGGAAGTTGGCTTACATTTTTATTCTTCTACCATGTAAATATGTTTAATTTGTTTGGAAGGTGATGTAAACCCCAACAAGATTTATACTTTTGTATATGGAATTTCTCCATTCTGTTTTTGAATTGTATTATATTTGTAGATAGTAAATATTTATTCTCCATTTTGTTTTTGAATTATATCATATTTGTACATGTTTTATTATTTGCAGTGCTATGGAGAATATTTAGATTGACGCTGCGATTACAACAAGATGTAAAATCCAAGTAGTACATGATGTCTATGAACAACTGGATACAAATCACAAAAGCAAGCTTCGGGAGAGCTGCTTTGGATCTCTACTTAGACTTGGGGATATAAGGTTGGCTTCACAGGTCATCCATCAATTGTTATTGAGGAAAATGAAGACCGACAAAAATGGAGAAGTGTGGTTCAAGATAGGAGATAAACAAGCGAGGTTTGGATTGGAAGAATTTATTTTAGTCAGTGGGTTAAATGCGGGTGATGAGAATGATGTAAATAAGACTTTGGGTACAGATGTCGGATTGTGAAAGAATATTTAGAAATAATGGGGGGAAAATCACAAAGGGAGATGTCTACAATGCATTTGTATGTTGTAAGAAGAGAAAGAGTGACAAGTATAAGTTGAGATTGATCGTAATATTGGCGTATGTCCTGTGGGCCACGGAGGAAAATAGCTACATCGATTTATGGTGATTGGACTTGATGGATAATTTGGATAGGTTCGAGAAGTATCCGTGGGGGAAGATTTCATTTGAATACACCATGAATGTATTCAGACGTGAGATAGGAGGTAAATTGAAAAGTTTTGAAGTCGGAGGAGAATTACAATGTTGGTATTCTTTGCAGGGCTTTCCCCTTGCTATAATGGTATGAACAAACAATATACTTGACTTGTAATATTTTGTATATATAAATTTGTGTCATGAGATAGTAATGTATGTTTTATAATAAATTTGGTCATTTGAAGCGATTCCAACTTTGGAAATGAATTTTGCTACAAAATATCCAGATGTAA